CCACATGTTGCCCCTCCCAGCACCCCCGACCCCTCCAGCACTGCTTTTTTTTTAAACTGGCCACTAGAGGGCATGAGAATACATTTTCATTTTTTAAAAAAATGTAAAAGAAATATATTCTTGGGTTGTGTGGAGGGTACATGAAGGGGCACAACCCTCTGAGATCCAGAGATGGGTATGTCTGGAAGCTGTCTAACTCCGCTGTGGTGATGGGCATGTTATGGCACTTTAGAAAGGTGCAAGTCTTCCTTCCAAATATGGGTGCTGGTGGATGGTTTTCTTTGGTGAAAGCTATGAAATGCTTCCTGAGTTCATGGTTGGCCATCACCACTCATCTCCCAAGCCCTTGGAAGCTGTTCACACCCACTGAGGGTCAGTTGTAGCTTTTAGGTGGTGCAGCCTTTTTATATCAGGAATTTTAAATTTGCTCTTAGCTTTGTTTTAATTTGTTTTAACTAGCTATGTTTTTAGCACTGTTTAGGGTTAATTGTGTTTAAAGATCAATACCTGTATTGAGCATGACTTATTATCTCTTATATACTTCCCTGGGGAAAAGACGGGGTATAAATAAAGTAAGTGACTAAGTAAATAAATTAATAAATATCTACTACTGCGAGACGGGGTATAAATAAAGTAAGTGACTAAGTAAATAAATTACCGTATTTTTCGCTCCATAAGACGCACCTTTCCATAAGACGCACCAATTTTTTAGGAGAAGAAAACAGGAAAATATAATCTGTTTTCTTAGCTCCATAAGACGCACAGACTTTCCACACCCCTGTTTTGTGGGAAAAAAGTGAGTCTTATGGTGCAAAAAATACAGTAATAAGTTTAACTCAACTTAAAGTAACAATAGGGAAGAATGTAATTTGGGTCATACGTTGAAAGACCGGACTATTGTGCTGATTGGAACAGGTTTAACTCTTGTACTGTGTGATTTTTCTGAATTTTGAAATGTGATTCATTGCTCAAATATTGCATGCAAAAATGTGCATCTTTTGAGAAGTGATGTGGCAAAAATGTGTATGGAAATATAGGGGCATTTTTTAAAAAAAATCACGGACTGAAACAGAACACAATAAATATGAGTACATACAACACTTTTCTGAATTTTGAAATGTGATTCATTGCTCAAATATTGCATGCAAAAATGTGCATCTTTTGAGAAGTGATGTGGCAAAAATGTGTATGCAAATATAGGTGCATTTTTTAAAAAAAAATCACAGACTGAAACAACACAATAAATATGAGTACATACAACATTACAATGGACTGGACCTTTGTTCATTCCTAATACCTCACACAATAGGTTTCAAACTAAAAGTGACGAAAGAGTATATTCATTTCTAATGTTAGACACCCCTCACATATGTTACATTCCTTAAACCTTTGTATAACTAAGAGAATGGCATAAAACTTGAAAAAACCCAGCTCAAATTCCTCCAAAAATTCCTTAAAACCTCATTAGAAGTAACTAGAAGAAATTAATTATTGCTCCTTTGGGCAGTTCCCACTCACTATGGTATTTTTCATATATTATTTTGTTTTGCCTTCACCACTAAAAATAATATTAATGATAACACTCCAGCAACAACTGGCAAGCATCCTTATTGCTTGAAACTTATTACTTCCATATTCTGCTTTCCCCAACCCGACTCAGGGTAAAGCAGGCAACCAGTGAAGAAGGAAATAGAATCAGGTTTTGATCAGAACTTGGAGCATTATCTGTTAAAAAGAAAATAAATAACACCTTTTAAGTTCCTTGTTTTCACCTCCAGATATTGGGTCATTCTTACTGTACTACCTTGGACACAGAATACGATTATGTGTTCCATTCCCATTTCAAATAATTCGGCAATGAAAAAGAATAGCATAACAAAATAAATAACATACTATGAACACAGTAACAAAACCCCTATATTTGCATGCCGCTAGCACCAAGACTAATGTTATCGTGCTTTTGTGGGTAACCCTGCAGCAGCTCCCACCACCCCAAGATTTCTAGAGCCAAAAGAGATAGGAAATAATGGGAAGGACTGGTTGCGAAGGATGGAATTCTTACAGTCTCTGGATTTTTTTTTAAAAAAAAATCCCAACAATTATTCATTCTGAGAGTTCTACCTACCTTACAGACACCTTAAACACCTAAATGTCCTGCAGCTGGGGAAAAGATCTAAATTGAAGCTTAGCTAGGCCTAGCTTTCAGGTTTAGCTAGGACTAGCTCTCTTCCTGTTCAGAAGGAGAGCTCCCAGCTACCACTGGAGCTGAGCCTTAAAGTTTTCTAATTTAAGCCTTTCTCTCAAGTACATGACATTTGGGTGTTTTTTAAGGTAGATGTAGAGCTGGTAGAACTCACAGAATGGAGGACTGGGGGATTTTTTTCATCTAGAAAATCTAAAAATCCCATCCCTGGCAAGCAATCTGACGGTGGCTGCCCAGGCCTTCTTGAACCCAGGGCCATCTCTACCGTTAGGCAGAGTGAGGGGGCTCTTCAGGAAGCAGAACAGAATATCCTTAAAGGACATAAAATTATTAGTGATTTGCTCTCTTATTATTGTTTTTAATCCTATGCAGGGTGAGATGCTTGTAGAATGTTCCGTATGGTGTACTAAAATAAACAGTCCAAGCTTGAGTATTATGCACTTCACCCTTCATTGTGTGTGTTCGGAAGGCCATTTGTTGTTCTGTCTCAGAGATTAAGGACAGAGTTCGCTGAAGCGACTTCACCAGCGTTTTAATTCACAACACTGGGTGGTTTAAAAAAAAATCAAGAAAAAAGGCGGAAGCTGTTGTTGTCATCTATGTTAGGGATCCAGGCATTTGTCTGAATCCAGGCCTCCTGTTACCAGGCCCACCTAACACGTGTGAATGTAGTGTGTGAAGCAAAACGGGCCAAGCAGTAGAGATTTTACTAATTTTGAAATAGATGCTGTGTTGATCTATATCAGCATGTGTAGCAATAAAGAAGAAATGGGAGGGAGGACCCACCCATTCTTGTGTCACCTTTAAGACGAAGACTCCCTTCGGCATAAGGTTTCATAGAATGCACCCCACTTGTCTTATGTGAAGTAGAATATTGACATGCACATGTTGTGAGCAAGGAATCAGATGGGTGGCATGAGGTATAGAAAATGACAGTTGTATTACTAGCACTGCTAATGCACTTTCGTATTCTGTTTAACATAAACAGCTGGCAACAGTTGGTGTAATAAGCTAATGCTAGATGTCTGTGGGACAATAAACAACCATGTTATGCCTTTGTCTTTAAAGTGTTCACATACAGTCTTATATCAATGAAGGATTCATAGAGTTGAAGCCAGAATTTCTGTGAAAAATAAACCCTTTTTTTCACACTGCACAAGCCTCTATGGCATAAACCAGTTCTATGTGAGGGACAGACAAGGAAATCTAGTTGTGCAATAATAAATGGACATACAACCGATACCAGAAATGTCTGTGTCAGAACACATCGACCTGCAGGGACATGTTGCCATTGACTCCAAAGGAGGTATTATACAACAAAACATTTCCAAATGAGATATGAGAACAATTCAATCGAGATATATTCACCAATTCTAGCTAGGAGAGGCCTGAACAGAGATAAGGACTTTTAGCTCATTGTATTATTTACAAGTTGGTTTATACAACAGTCTTGTTTATAACTAATTTTCCATTCTTCAACACAACACAACCCTTTCCCACAACAAACGGTTTCTTGAGAACAGAACTCGTTGTGTGAACAGCTTAGAGACAAATGCTGAATGCAGTTTTGTATCAGGCCACAGATGGTTTGTGTTAACTAATTTATCTGTTGCCCAGACAGTTTTGCTACCCAGCACATCAAATGTTCATGACCTCATGTTAATAGCCTAACTATTCATTTTCTGTATTCAATTTTGCTTGTTCACACGGACACCCCGTGTACACCGTGTTTGTACCCAGATCGATGGCCTGAATATTATATTCCATACATCAAAAGAAGTGAACTGTAATTTACAAATACCACACTAAAATAAACCTGTTAGTCTAAAGGTTCCCACAAGATTTGTTTCCTTTGTTGTTGTTGTTGTTATACATGCATCCTTTAATGCAGGGTTTCTGACCTGATGCCCTCCAGATGTGCTGGATTGCATCCTCCATCATCCTCAACAGCACAGTATACTCACTGATGATGATAGGTATTGTAGTTCTACCCAGAGATCCAACCAAACTAGTCTAACGTGTTATGGAAAATTAGCAAAAAAAGTGTAATAGTGAGGCATCTGGTAGCAGAAATACCTCAAGCATCTTTTCTTTCCGTTTTCCAATTGCGCTCTGAAAATGGCTGTTACTGTTATTGCTGCTGCTGTGGTTGCTGCCTGGGGATTTAAAAAAATCATATTTTATTTGTATCCCTTTTATGCAGGTGCTTTTATAAACACTCTCAGCTAGTCGTCTTTTACTTGCATTTTTTTGGGTTATATTTTTGTTTGTCTCTTCGTTTTGATTCATTCCCCGTCAGCCCAATATCCTTACTAATACTTTAATCCTTGAAAAACTCAGTGTCAACTGGCTTCTTGTGCCTTTGTAAGCTGCCTCTTGATCTACTAAAGCATCAGAGTGTGTACACCCAAAAATAAAAAGATGTTTGGGATGTATGACCTTCATTCATACACCTGACTGTCCTTAAAAGTACGAAATGCTGCTCCAAGGGGAAGGGAAAAGAGAGTGATGGTAGGAGTGAGACCCTTAACTAACAAATGGGAAAAGAAGCAAGAAATAAACACAGAACCCTTATGTTCTTGTGCCAAATGCAGGGGTGGGCTTGATGGCCCTGTAGGCCCCTTCCCAGACCAGGATTCTGGGATTCCGTGAGAGCAAACTGTATGCTTTCTGGACATTTTGGATCGACACCGGCCTCAGTCCCCATGGCTGATTGTTAAGGGAGTTGGTAGGGAAGAGATAGAGTTCCTGGCAGATGGTGGCCCCCATTCACTGTACCCTTTTGCCTTTCACCCAGATGAAGAATGTTCTACCACGGAGCACCCTTACAAGAAGCCCTACATGGAAACCTCCCCTCCAGAGGACGACTCTTTCTATCGCTCCAGCTACTCACAGCAGCAGCAGCAACAGCAGCAGCAACAGGGACTGAATGCCAGCACATACAGGACTGAGTCTGCTCAACGCCAAGCTTGTATGTATGCCAGCTCGGCAGCGCCCACAGAGCCCGTTCCTAGCTTGGAGGACATCAGCTGCAACACCTGGCCCGCCATGCCATCCTACAGTAGTTGCACAGTGACTGCCATGCAGCCCATGGATAGGCTGCCTTACCAACACTTCTCTGCCCATTTCACCTCCGGCCCTCTCATGCCCCGGCTTGCCACCATTGCCAATCATACCTCGCCACAGATCGGGGACGCCCACGCCATGTTCCAGCACCAAACGTCGGTCCCTCATCAACCGATCGTCCGGCCATGTGGACCTCAAACGAGCATCCAGTCGCCTCCCAGCAGCTTGCAGCCTGCGGAGTTCCTCTATTCCCATGGGGTGCCCCGGACCCTCTCTCCCCATCAGTACCACTCCGTGCATGGGGTGGGCATGGTGCCAGAGTGGAACGAGAACAGTTAACAAGGGGGGGGGCAACGGAGCCAAAGGGAATTTCCTGGCAAAAGTTAAGAGTGTTTTGCAAGACTTGTTGAACTGAATGTTGATAGATAAGCACTCAAGAGGGACAATGTCCCATCTTCTGGGCGGGGAGCAGCGGGTGGAGGGGGGGGGAAGAGACCGTGGCATTGTATTTCCTCTGCTCTCCTTTGGCAAGGCCATTGACAAGCCGATCCCCACCTCTTCCCCACACCGCCTCCTCCTCCTCCTCCTCCTCTTCACTCCCAGATGTGGCCACACAGAGTTTGCATTGCGACCCCCACCTACTTTGTGCTCTCACCCCCTTTTGGTTGGAGATTTGCTTTCAGGTGAAACACAGGAGTTTTATTGCCTTTCTCAACACCACAAGAGTGCTTGAAAAAACAACATTTCTTTCCCTCCCTTTCTTTTTCTTTTTTTTTTTGATGTTGATATTGACATTGTTATATTATAATAAATGATAATATATATCTATAACTATATCTATATTCTTTTGAGGCTATAAAAAGAAGCCGTCCCTCTTTAAAGAGAGGATTCAGGTGAGGCTGAAGGGACGCATTCTCTACTTCCACGAGCAAGACAGTCTGTTACCTACATCTGACGGGCACGTCTAGTTTTTGATGTTCCTAGTAGCTAGATTTGTTTCTCAGCCAAACAGATGTTCAGCACTTCCAGCCTCATCTTCTCTGCTGGGCACCCACTCAGAGTACGTGCCTGCCAAAGGAGGTGGGCTGGCAAGCTCTGAGACCTGTTTGGCCAAGAAAAGAAAAAGCACGAAGGGCCAAATTATCAGTTCGTGGCCCTCTCCGTTCCTAGCCATCGTTTTGTGTCCTGTCTGTTTCATTATGTGCCAAAATCCTTTTAAGGGTAGGGACAAAAGAGTTCTCATCAAATGAGACTCTACATTTTTGTGTTGGGGATTTTATCTAGTTTGATCCATTTCTCTTCTCTTTCGGGCAAGAGGCTCCCAGGGCCAGCCCTACCATTAGGGAAAGAGAGTGAGTGGCTTCAAGAAACAGACACTGACAAGCTACTAGAGGAGAAAGATGTATGCCTTGTAAGCTTCTTGGGCCTAAAATTCATAGCTAGCCTAAATTACAGTGGGCCTGTTGAATCAGTTACTGAGTAGTAAGTCAAGAGTCACAGAAATCACACTGATTCAATGTGTCTGTTCTCGTTCAGACTAGCAAAGGATTTAGGCCCAAATCAGCCAGTTTATTTGCAGGTACAGTGGGGGAATGCTGTTGAAGAGGATTCAGCTACCTGTCTGCTTAGCTTTTGTACACGGAATGGGAAGAGTCACCGTCTTTTTCTCCAGCACGAAGCAGCAAAATGTTTTGGGACAGCCCAAGAGGACTGCTGATGTCGACTGCCTCGTCCTTTTATACCCCATTTCTAAATCACAAAGAACTTGGTGGCACTTGACAAGTCTAAGAGGCTTATTGTAGCATGACACTTGACGTAAACCGAAGAATCCAGTCCATGTAGTTCTTGGTGTGGCTGCCATCCCAAAGCAAAGCCATGCATCTAGTGCTCTACTTATTGCCATGATGTCTTTGAGGCTAAATGGATGTCTTCTGTGGCCGGTTCTGGCTGGTGGAACTTAAGAGTCTACTCATATGCTGAGGTCTGCCCACTAGGGATGTGCATTCATTTAAAAAAAAAAACTTAAAAGAGGCAAGTTGGTTGCATTTATGAATACTTTTGTAGCTTTCCAGTTGAGAGCTTCTGAAAGCCAATCATTTTGGCTTCCCAAAAGACAAGTCTTGAAAATATTGGGTTTCCTCCATTGCGTTACCTCCGTCTGATGTATCTTTAGAGCCTTTCTCCTCCTCTTCCTTTTGCCTCGCCACTGCCATTCCCTAAGCCCTGGTCTTCCCTGGCAATCCTCTCATGCCTCCCCCCCATCGGTGTTCCGGAAGTCCTGATCTTCCTTCTTTGTGTCTCGAGGGGCTCTTTTAGTGCTAGAACCCTGAAATGGGATGTGATAGAGCGTATCCTGTTCAGGTTCGTCGCAAGGACCAGGATGTGAAAGGGGCCAAACAGAATGAGGAGCCCCACCAAAAGAGCCAGTCACAAATGCATCCTGAAAGTTTTGCTCACATACTTTCCTGCTTCCCACCCTGCCCTACGTACTGTGACTATTTTACTTCTCTGCATCCAGGATCCTGTCCAGTGCCATAATATCTCCTGCTTCCTGTTTTTCCCCCCATCCCTTTCCCTGGTGGCTCATTGACCAAAGTCAGAGGTGGAGAAGACTCCAAGAAATGGCAGGGAAAGATATTCTTCTTCCTTGGTCCGTAAACTGCCTTGGCCTCCTTTCTATACCAACCATTAGCTGCTCCTCTCCATGTGCTAATGGCCCCCACCACTTACACAGAGCTGGATGTCGTATTTGAATGTACAACATCAGTAAGTGGATACATGAGGATGATCTTGTGGGTTGATGAGGACGCATTACACTGAAAGCACATGTAGGCAATTTAAACCAGAGCTTCCATTGAACAGTATTTCAACACAGCGAGATGTTTGAGTTCATTCTTTGGCTGCAAATTCCACTCAAGTAATCTTTAGTGGCTTTTTAAAGCTTCTTTTCAAAAGCAAGCCTTTCTAAAGTGATGCAGACTCTCCATAGGATCGTATTTGGGAAATCTGTATTCTGATTCTGCCAGGCCCTTTTGCAGACAGTAAGAACAATATCTTAAACCAATTGGGGAGAGGGGGGGAGGAGGAGGAAGAAGCAGTCAAATCCTGTGAGTTTAATGCCAAGTGAAAATCCCATTTGTAAAAAAATGACTATTTTATTCCTTTTATCTTCCTCTGTAAAAAACAAATAAAAATACAAGAATATTATCTGCATATGTTAAATGTGACGTTAAACAAATTTGTGTTTAAAAAGTGCGGAGGAAGGTGGGAAGATGTGTATAGGGTTTTTCTTTGTTTTTTTGTGTTTTTTTGTTTTAAATATAATTCCAGGGTTCTTTGGATGTGATATTTCACTGATACTATTTATTGATAAAATAGGTATTCTAATAAATACCAACAGGTAATAAAAATCAGCAAAGCAGCTGGTTGGAAAGATTTATACTTTGTTGATGACCCAGTTGCTACCTTGCCCCCCCCATTTGTGATGTACCTTTTCAAATCAGCCCTTTTTAAAAAACAGCAAATAATCTTAATTACAAAAACAGGGACATGTGTGTGTGCATATGAGAGGAAATGAATGTGTATGAATTTTGTTTTGTGTGGGAGAATAAGGCTACAAAACACTTGTTTGTCCACTTCTGTATGTTTCGAAGGGTGGGACAGGAAATGTCTATCGATCTGATTTTCCCATATTTTTGTGTGGAGGGTTATGACTAATAAATACCATGAGCTATGAGGTACAAAGTACGTGGACACCTGCTCCCCCCCTTCCCCTCACCCCAGACAAAATTGCAACCACAAACTAAATGTAAGAATAATAGACATAAATGTAAATGTTACAAGGCAATGTTTGCAATGCCTGCTCAAAAGCAGGCCCCCAAGCATTCAGTGGGACCCGGGTAAGTCATGCATACAGGACTGAAGTTGCATAGAACAATCCAGAGAAGGAAAGGAAGGGAGACTCTGGGAAAGGCAGATCACTTTCGGCCAAAAAGAGAGACATGGGGTGGGGGTGAAGGCGGCTAGATTCCTGTGATGAGTCATAAAACCTCAGCTTGTAGAAGGTGTGGGGACAGAAAAGCTTTCTTGTGTTGCTGTTGTTTAGTCATTTAGTTGTGTCCGTGACCCCATGGACCAGAGCACGCCAGGTCCCCCTGTTTTCCACTGTCTCCCCGAGTTGGGTTAAATTCCTGTTGGTCGCTTTGGTGATACAATCCATCCATCTCGTCCTCTGTCGTCCCCTTCTCCTCTTGCCTTTGCACTTTCCCAACATCAGGGGCTTTTCCAGGGAGTCTTCTCTTCTCATGAGATGGCCAGAGTATTGGAGCCTCAACTTCAGGATCTGTCCTTCCAGGGAGCACTCAGGGTTGATTTCCTTCAGAATGGATAGGTTTGTTCTCCTTGCAGTCCAGGGGACTCTGAAGAGCCCATAGCTTCTCTGAATCACTCAAGCCCCTTTGCCATGACAAGGCAGCAATCGGTGAAGGGGATAGAAAAGCTAGGAAGTCACAAAACGCTGCCATCATTGGGAAGAGGGCATGGCCATCTCAGGAAGCCCAAGAGATATGGTTTGGGATTCATACTGCCAGGGTGAAAGATTATGATGATGATTATCGTAAGCACAGCTACAGACTTGCCCCACTATTCATCCTCTGTTCAAATTCATCCCAGAACATTCCTGATACAATAGTACTACTGCCAAGGACAGGGTGGCAATGGGGACTGAGATTCTCATGCCAACAAGGAAGCAGTTGTGAATACTTGTCTTTGTGAATCTTTGCTTGTCTTGCCCTCACAGGCAAGGATAAAGAATTGCACTTCTCTGCCCAGCGTTTTACTGCACTTGCGAGGTACTTTTTTTTTTGCACAAAATAAAGCAACAAAGAAAGCAATAGTCCAATAAAACAAAAAGACAAAGTAAGTTGGGATGACTGATGCTTCGGTTCATGGGCATTTTCCACTTTTAAGCCTTGAATGGGTTGTTTGTCTCTTTCTAACAATCACCTCTTCCTCCCTCGGTGCTTGCCATGTGTGCTTTCAGAGCCCTTTGTCCTGCTTTTGACAGGAGGCAAGGAATCTCACAAGGTTTCCAAACATTTATTGCTTGACGTGTCTTGTGCTCTCAGAACAGCAGAAATCAAGGAAGATCAGGGATTTGACCAGTTTCTTTCTATAACATAGACTGCCCTCTCTTTCAGCAGAGAGAAATATCCACACCATCCTGTGCTCTCTGGCACCCACTCTCATTGACTATAGGGAAAAGTGAGCAAAATATGGCCTTCTAGATGTTGTTGGGGTATGACTACTGCCAATCGTAGACGGCACAGACGGAGGGGAGGACTGCTAAGAGCAGCCATTCTACAGCTCCTGAAAAGCCACAAGTGACCCAGTCTAGGTTACACAATTATCCACCGAACGGCACAAATGTTTCAGCTAGATGAAAAGCACTGTCCATCTTGATTCAGAAGGAAGGACTGCCACTGTTTACAAGCAGCCATAAACCTGCTGCCTCATTAATTGGGAGCATCTTTCATCCAGTCAAGAAGATGATGAATAAGATAACTAACACATCCATTTTACAATGGGTTAAATTAATTGACTGAAAGCCTCTTGGTTGACTGAACGGATCCATGGGTTAATCAAATGGGATTAAAACATATATACATATGTAGCTCGTAGACTTCGGTCTAGATGGGCGTGGTATAAATCTAATAAATAAAAATAAATAAATCAATAGTGGCACACTGTACATTTAAAAAAAAATAGAAATGGCAAGTAACCATTTTAAAGAGGCATTTATTCTTGTGCTGAAACCAGCAGTGAAGGACAACTTCCATCACTCTTGATCATGGCTTATGCCACATGGATAACGGGATTTGTAGTTGGAGCCAAAAACGCGGACTCAGACTTTGGACTTCAACCCAAAGACTTGCCAACATCCCTGTTCATTTGACTAAAATGTGTGTGTTTGGTTGGCAAATAATTACAGGGTGGCAAACTTCTTGCCCTCTTGAGGCTTTGGACTACAGCTCCCTCCGTCTCTTGCCATCTATTCTTTAGAATAAGGCTGATGGGAAATTTATGCAGACATTTCTAAGGAATCAAAGTTTTCCCACCCCAGACTCGAGCAACAGGCCTATCCATGGCTGTGTTTCAGGAACCCTGGTGAGTGCCACTGCAACAAAGGCAGAGAAGCCATTTTCACAATGCTAGGCTCTTTGTCTACCTAGCTCCGTATTGTCTATCTCCAACATCATTTCTGACAGCTACTCTCTGGTCCTTTGAACTGGAGATAACCAGGATTGAACCTGGAACACTTCTGCACCGACAACACGGACTACAGTCCTTCCCCATTATGCTTTGCTTTATGTGCATTCCTAGCAGAGAGGTGTGCTGTGTTCAGGGGAAAGCAACAAAATGAACCAAATGAAAGAGATTTATGCACAACAGCATGGAGCGAGAAACTGTTGCTACAGATGGAGTGGAAAAGCAGCACCTACACACCACCAGTCTGCCATTACTGGAGTTAAAAAACTGTGAAAAGAATTAAAGTCTTGCTGCAATTGGAAGAGTAAATCAAGAGTGATGTTATGATGCAAGGTGAAAGAACCAAAACAGAAGGACAGTAGCTGCTGGATCCCCAATGAAACTCTAGTCCAAGACTCTCGTAAGTCAGCTGACCAAAGATCTCCTGGGCTGGCAAGCTACAAGGGAAGAAACACGTCTCTTCTAGACTCTTCACCTGCTGAAGATTGGGAAAGAGTCTATCTGTCAGGCCACCAGGCTGTGTGCATTTGGTTGCTGTCCCTCCCTTAAGCATTTTGCCCAGCTGCAGGACACAGTGAGGGATTGTTCCATCATTATGTAAATGTGTGCCGTTGCATTCAGGAATATTCTCTTATTCTTTATTCTCAAATTGGATTCCTGAACTTGATTCGCTCTTGAAGGTGTGGCCATGTGACTAGGGAGGGGGGTATGCCTGTGTTCTTATGCGGGCTTTGAGTGGGCAG